CACAGCGCAGCTGCCCTGATTCTGACCATGAAATTCCAGGATTTCCAAGGATCCAGAAATCTCAGAAGAATGGCTTAAGTCCTCATATGTTATCAGAAGAAAATTTTCAGGTAGAAAAAGAGGATAAATTCAAGGAAAATTGCATAGAGGCTAGATAATAGGAAAACAAACAAAAAAACCCCAAAGGCTAATAGCAGAGAACTGTTACAAAAAAAAAATGAGTATTAGAGCAACAGAAAAGGAAAAGAGGCTAATAGCAGAGAACTGTTACAAAAAAAAAAAAAATTAGTATTAGAGCAACAGAAAAGGAAAAAACACAGATGAGAATACATTAATACAAGCAAAACCAACATAACACTGAAAGCAAAATGCATGACAACACAAGAAGTTCTTGTCCACTACAGATATAAATACCCTCCCAAAATGACTTTTAACATCATTGTCAAAGAGGCAGACATCACTAGCACAGGGATGAATCATCACAGCTAGTACAGTAAACTATCAATCCTTTCTTTAAAGGACTTTTTTGCTTTTCTGCTACTATGCTGCTATCATGCAAAGGTCCAAAGCAGAACTTGATACATAATGGTTATTTAAACACCAACAATACTTTGTGCCACCCTTAGTCCTCCATTGCAGACAATAGCCCACAAGTTTTCTCAAATAAGGAATCAGCGTGTATTGTGTCACCTAACAGTAATAGTGATAAGGAAACTGCTGCAGGTACCATAAGTATGAAAGAAAGGGGATTGTAAGTTGGTGAGTGATAGGAAGACGTTCAAGGGATAGTCTCCCAATCACAGCTTCTGAAACTGCAAGTCAGATGTGCAACTGTAACCAATCAAATTAATGGAGATCAGAAAGGATCCCCAACAAAGTGGGCGAATAAAAACCTAGCAAACTCTCATTTCAGTGAGTATATGTGAATATTTCAAATAAAAACTTACTTCATCTCCCTCTTCAATTAATGCCTGTATTGTACTAAAGAGAGATCCATAAGCTCCCACGGTCACCAGGATCTCTGTGAGAGGATCAATCTCTCTTCCACAAACTCTCTCGTACACTTGAGACAAGGCTTTCACCAGCGATGGATGTCCCTGTTTAAAGCAAACAAATGCAACTGATCCGTGTGTTCTTGACAATGTACAAAGCCTACGTTTGTTTTTTTCCCACGTATATCAAAATAATACATTTTGAAATAGAAAAATACGAGATGAGCCCTCAGAGTTGGTGACTTGTTAACAGGTAAAATGTTTTAAAGTTTTTGCACCTTAGGGAAAAAACGTGGTCTCAATTTATTCCTATCTAGTAGGAAATTTTTTGTATATTCAATGCTTTTAAACTTCTATCTTATTATCACATCTCAGGATAGCTCCAGGTAGTTTATAGAAGCACTAGGACAAGAGACAGCAGGAGAGAAAGGAATACTCTGACACCAATTCATCCTCACCCCCTGTAGTGTCTCTTCCCCACCTGTCCATATTTCCATCTGAAGCGCCTTCTGTTTCTTTCCTTATCTTTCAACTAAAAATTATTTGGTGCAAGGGAAATATTTTTATTCTGTTTATATACTGCTGATAAACAGCACTTGTGATCAGAATGATCATTTATATAATCATATCCCAAATCTCTGAGCACCATTCACCATTTGTGTCCTCTACAGGGATATGGCGATTAACGTACTCTTCTCAAAATGTGCAAAGAACAAGAAAACAAGCGTGCAACAAAGCTCATATACAATATGGAAATAAGAAGTTGCAATTCTGTTCACTCAGGAAGACTACACATTTCCTGCTGTGAAAATCTTTTTTTTTTTTCTTTTTGGATCCTTGGTAGAAAGGAAAGTTCCATGAGAAAATGCAACTATGTAACAAAAATCCTTCTCTAAAATACTGAACATTGTACCTCTCCTCACAAGGCATAAAATCATGAACCCTTCTGTAAACAAGAACATTACCATAAATTAAGGCTTACAAGTCATCGCTGGTTCAAACGACAGCCATTTCTTGCCACAAGTGTGTCAGCTAACCAGGAAAGCCGCCCCAAGTCACGTTTGGTCACGCTACAGGCCATAGCCCTACAGTCAAAGAGAGGTCCAAGCGCTGCAGAGAGCTGAGACGTCGTCTCAATTATCAGATGGGGGTGCATCATTCATGCTCATCCCTCCCATATTTGCTACCACAAAAATTGGTGCTCAAAAACCTTAGAAGCGCAGAAGTTTGTAGAGAAAGTGCAAAGGCTGAAAATGGGAATATTGGTAAGAATTCTCCTTTAATAACTATCTACAGTGTATTATATCTGCAAACATTCATAGTTATCATATGAATTATCAAACTATTTGGAAATAAAGAACAAAGCAAAAGTAGTACATATTGAGTAATCGCATGCATTGGCAAAAATTACATTTGTGCTTGATTCGTAAATTATTTCAGAGAATTAGTCTGTGAATATTTGCCAGAAGGTAGACTGGAGCCCATTCTCTCTGTAGCCTTTCCCCCTGTGCCAAGGCTCCTTCAAAGCCCGGTCTGCCTGGTGAACGATGACTTTCCAGGTACCTTATTGTGGCTGATGAACATACTAATGCTTAGCCCAGAAGTTCACTAAATCCCACCCATCTTTTGTGTGTGTCTGCCACTAAACAATTGCTTTATACTTTCAAGTTATACGTGTATATATATATTTTTTCTTTTTCTACTTGAAGAGACTCTGCACACAACCAGAGGTGATTAAACAAAGTGACCCAAAGAAAGATAGCAATGAGGCTACATTCACTGGGGAATATTTTTTTTTTTGCCAGGAACTTGTCTCAGTGCCCTACTAGACCTTAAAGGCCCTGACCAGCCTTACCTAGGGCCTCTATCCAGAGCTGTGCCCCTGGTCCAGGGGCTCCATTTAAGTGCTGTGCAGCAGGGTTGCTGATCTCCAATTCAGTTACAGCCATGCTTGTACCTGGCCATAGACCCTGTTGATCCCAGCCCTACCTGTAGACGGATTCTGTGGCTTGACCTTAGACCTGCCTTGTCACACCAGACCTGCCCAGTCATCACTGGGTTACGCCTAACCATAGTTAGCATTGCCAGGCCTGACCTGTGGATTGACTTCCTGGCTTGACCTCAGGCCCACCTCATCCCCACAAGCTTGCCTGGTGATCTGGGCTGACCTCAGCCACCACCTCTGGGCCCGCCTTGCTCAGGTACTCTGACACCCAGCTGGTGAGGCCTCCATCCCACTCGCTGCAGTAGCTTCTCCTTTAGGGAGCTGCTGGCCACTGCTGCTCCCTGTCAGTTCTCGTGCATGCAGGTTCTCAGAGAATAGGCAAAAAGTTATGTTGGAATATATACACCACGATGCCACAACTATCAAAGCAATTGCTGGTCTACCAGTCTATACAATGTTGCATACCATGGTCATCTAGAAAAATATTAGATAGACTCCTGTGGGTCTTGAGGCAATCCTGACACATGGTTCTCAGCTGGGCAATATGGTTCACCTTTACCACAAAATATAAGAAAGTCAAACCAAACAAGGAAGCAGTCATACTAAAATATCCCGCCCTGGACAATGATAAATGCCACACACATCCAGCTCGAGACATAAACTCTACAAGCCAACTTACAGAATGGGTAGTGACTATCTTCCAGGGGCAAAAACTTACTGTTTTCATCACTTCCTACTCTCCAGTGAAATCTACTAAATGTTATGGATGAATCTTTTCTTGATCCTAGAGGTGCTGTCTCAACTGGTAGCAAGTATTTCTTTCTCATCCTACCATTACCCTATCTGATTCATGTTTACACTGACCAAAATCGGAGGTCAATGTATAATTTACACTTTAAACTGTGAATTGACTCTTCAAAGACAATCTACCCCACGTGTGGGCTACCATTTTGCTCTTGCTGAAGGATTCTGCCTTGAAGAAGCCTACACAGAGGATGTTCATTAGTAACAGATAAGGCTACTAGATCAACTTAATTTGGGACATAACAGTATGACCTACAGATAAAACTAATTTAAAGCAAAGTCAATTTTTTTCCCTGTGGCACATCCTCCATTGAACCTGGATCCTCAAGTTCCACAGTACTTACGAAACCTCGTGTGTACTGGTTCAGTCTGTCAACTGCCGCTGCCTTTGCCAGCTCTTCTTTAACATAGCTGGGAGGGGATATATCAGGAAGGCCTTGGCCAAGATTAACAATTGAGGGATCTGCTGCCACCTTTGTAAATTCAACCCTAAAGGGAGAAAACATCTTAAGGTTAACATACCAGGTAAAATTACCTTTTCCTTCATTACCATTAAAAGGCAAAAAAAGTATTTCACTTCGCCAAATTCACAGCAGTGGAAACAGGTTTAAGTAGAGTGCTCAGATGGAGAGGTGGGGGCTGGAGCAATGGTAAGTAACCACAGGAGTCAGTGGGAACCCAATAAAAGGTTGACTTTCTGCATCCACAGAGTAACAGTTCTGCCAGCAGAACTATGCTCAGATGCGTGCACACACACAAACACACAGTAACTCTGGATATGGGCAGAAGTGGAACACTACCCTCTTTGCAAAATGAAGTAGACCTAATTAGAATGGGCACATTAAATGATTTAAAGGCTACATTCTATCACGTGAAGGTGTCATTTAAACTACACAGTCACCTCAGAGTGCTATAAATATTTTTTTGTGTGATTTTAGGCAACAGACTGTTTCAGGCTATTCATTAACTGTTCCTAGTAACCTGCCAGATACAAGCGTTAGGATTCTTGAATAATTTGTCTTTTCCTCCTCTCACAGGCAAGCTTTGCATTTTACCCTTTTCTCACTACCTAACATGATTTAATTAAAAAAAGCAACTAATAAAAAAACCCCCCAAAATCCCACATAGCATCACAGTTCTGTCAAAAATTAATACAAATTGCTAAAAATTACTTTGAGGCTGGATAACCAAAACACTTTGTGTATATATACACACACATATATACGTACAACTAATGTAAACCCAAAATAGTGTTTTCACCAACTATCAAAATCCCGTATTTACCAGTGATGGCAATATTGCTTTGAGACCAATGTAATACTTAGAAGAAATTGCATGAAAAATAATGAGCTAAGTTATAAAGACAAGTATAATGGCTTTCAAAAGAAATCTGACTCATTTGGTAAACACAAATCAAATGTAATTGAAAAACATTACTCAACAAAATTAACATTTAAATTTAAAAGTCAGCTATACATGCCCGAGAGTTACACTTGTCTTGTGTGATTGACTAGAAGAGAAGCCCAATCCTAATATTTAAAGCTGAAGAATAAGAATTAATTCACAGCTTTAATAGAATTTGGTTCACTGCTTCTAAGCAGGTGCCAAATATATTTCAGCAGAAATAGCAAGTACTATGTACCTTCTTACTGGCAATAATTATCAATTTGGAAAGAAAAATATATTGGCCAAAGACATTTTCTGAAATTTGCAGATATTTTCCTTTTACTTACCATACATTGCCATCAATGCCTTCAATTCGTCTTGTGTTTTTGTGTCTGAAGGCCATTGTCTGCAAGATCAAAATACACAGACAGAAGGGTTTTGTTAAGGAAGAGAAAGTACTATATTGTTGGATTCTGCATGACAAACCCTCCTTCATGCTTTCTCAAATATACCATTGCCAGCTGAATTCAGTAGTTACACAAAATTATAGACATGTTCTTTCATGAAAGTTTCTATAATAGCTTCAATTCAGACTAACAAGAAAATACACAAAAACGTCCTGAATTCTCATTCACCATTATCTAAAGTCACTGGACATCAGCAAGGATTGAGCAGGGGCATAAAGCTCAATAGCTTTAGAAGATGACATAAAAAGAAAAAAATAGAGTACATAACATTCTTTTTCTTCTCTATGATATACTAACAACTTAAAGTCTCTGTTATTTCTAGCCCAATTCCTGCTCAATCCAGTTTGGACAGTTTAGAAAGTGTGCATTTTCTACGTAATCTTATTTGTTAAATTGATGGGTAAGAGGAAAATAGCAGAGACATCTCCTATTTTCATCCAGACTTTTGAAACTTTGAAGTATTTACTTACAACACAGCAAAACCACATTAGAACATGTTTTTGTTGTATATTCAGAACTTCAGTTAAGCTCTTGGAAAACTGCTTTAGAATAGACTTTCAATGAGTACTCTCTATAAAGGCAGAGAAAAACTTATTGGTGGTTCTGGTATTTTTAAGCTAAAAAGAGAAAAGATGGATGGAAAAAAACCCCAAGATTTATTTCTATGTGTAAACAAAAAAAGTGCAAGTCCATTTCTATCTTTGTAAAACAGCTTGATATTGGAAAAAGATAACATAGGAATTGCATAGTCCCTCAGTATTCCAGACACTCCTGTTTCTTTGAGTCAGACTACTGATTTTAGTGACTTTTACCAATGCTAGCTATTGTTATTGTCTGAAAGATTCAAAAAACATACTCTAGCTACCATGCTCTGAGAAGAAAGTGTCTGCGTTACCATTCCACTCCAAGTTTCAACTTTGAATCAATGGGAATGACTCACAGTAGAAATATTATGCAGGTACATGTTTGCACTCAACCTGTTTACAGTAATAAAGCTACCATATACGTAATGATTTGAAGAATGGGAAGCTATAAAATTAAACAGATACTTCTCTGCTCCTATGTCTTCTCTACAGATCTGACCTCATCTATGAGACAGAAACACCAGCGGAATCAAGCACAAGACACCTTTTATTTGTCCTCAGGAAGAAAACCATTAAGATAACTAGACAGCCAAAGTTGTACTTTTGACACAGAACACAACATACACAAGAAGGAGTTCTGACTAGGTAATCTGTACTGCATCTATTTAAAACCATACATATGGTTTAGAAGATTAATCCAATTTTACAGTGTATGTCTTGGTAAACGTGATTAATATTTGACTGTACTCTATAAATACAGATAACACAGGTACTACTTAGACTGAGACACACACACACATCTTTTTTCACATGTTAGACTACTTCTCATACTACAAGGAATAAGTCTCACCTTGCACCTTTCCAGTTAATAATGAGAATTCTGTATGCTGCCATGGGTAAATTTGTTCCATTGACCAGCTCTTCTTGAAATTGTTTCAATTTGATAAAAGCTAAAGGCCTATCAACTGCAGACTTTTATCATTAACTATAATGTAAATCTTAACTACATTAAGTGACCTCCCCTACCTAAAAATATATTGACAAGTAAAATAAGCCTTTACCTTACAGCTCTCATACTATTTTAAGTTTAAATATGTAATGAGTCAAGCCTTCCTATTTATTTTTTCTTGTGCCTTGAAACTAGTTTTAAAACAGAATAGTTGGACCTGCATTAGTTTTCAGGTTTTCACAGATTCAGTGTTCGGGTCCACCTTATTACTTTGAGAAGGCCAACCAATTAACTAGACATTTTTGAATGATACCTTAAGTAGCATTCTCTCTTCCAGAAGGTCATGAGAATTCTTAAGACTCTTTTTGTTTAGCCAGCTTTGTCATCACTTGATAATCTTCAAGCCATTTCTAGGTGCAAGGCTAGGATTTCCATGAGTTTAAGATCAGTGTTAAGCAGAAGTATGTCCTCACCAAGCTCTAACTCCAACCTCCTGCTTTCCCTAACACTTTTATCAGGGAAAGCACCTGACAGAGTCAGGTGCTGCTCGTATTTATCTTTCTTCCTAATACAAAGGAACTTGTGATAAAATTGAATGGCAATATGTTTAATAATGATAGAAGCACATACTTTTACATGGTGCATAATTTAACTGTGGAATTCAATGTCAAAAACTACAACTGAAGCCAAGATCTTAAGAAAATTAAAAAAAAAATAAAAAAAGAGGATTGGATTTCAGCATGTTTATAGTGAGAATATCCAGCTCCATTAAATAGAATACAAATACTGACAGCATACAAAAAACTGACTCAAGCAAAAGCTGACCTTCAAAGTGGCTTCTCCCGGCACGCTAGAAGAAACTTCTCATGTGGAAAAAATATGCTACATCTGTCCAGTAATGCTCTGAACATCTGTTTTGAAGGACTTGACATGTGCCTTGGTGGACCCCAGTTGCTGACTAGATGAACACCCATTCTGACCTGGGAACACAATTTACATTCCAGTATTCTATATGCAACGCAGAGTGTGACCTCTAACCACCTACCACGCTGCAAAGCTCTGTTTTCTCCCAACAAAACTGGAAGACTTAAAACAAAGTTACACAATCTTACAAGCAGTTAAGCTGGGAAATTGAGAAGATTCTGTATAAAATTAAGTTTGAGGTAGTTATCTACCCCTTGTTATTGCAGCATCAAGAAGCACCACTATTCTCATGTCATTAAAGGAAAACTGAGATACAAAGAAATTAATTGACTTGCCAAAAGTCTGTGATAAAGCTGGGACTGAACCTGTCTTCTGTATCTCAAGATCTAGTGTCCTAACAACCAGGCAATCCTGGCTTGACATGTGCTAGATGTGACTTTAAAGACTGAAAAGGATACACAAAGCAATAAATGCAAAATTCTGTTATGCTAGTGTGGTTAAATATTTGACTGATTCAAATACCTTATTTTGTTCTTGATATTAAATGTTTGGATCAATGTAACAAGAAATAAAGAAAACATAGCTACTGCATAGATATTAACAACATTGCAAAATTAGTGAGTCTCTAAAATATTGCACAAAATAGTTTTGTCTATGAAGCTGAAGAAGTACTTACTGCAGGGGCTGAAAGTTTGATGGATCTGGAAAACAAATCTGTTCGTAGTTGGTATGCTTTAACACCACGGCAACAGAAGCTTCGTGAAGCAAAAAGCATGCCTGCATAATAAATAAGTGACCTGAAAAAAACTTAGATTCCAGGAATGAGTTTCTATACATCACTAAGCAATTTTAGAAGATAAGATCCCCTTCTCTTCCCTTTAGTGATTTTGTTTCATTGAAATAAGTTTTAGTCAATTATTACCTTACCACATTTGTAAGCACAGAGGATGAAACTTCTTAACTGACAGGGCTGCAAAATGCTTCTGTCATCTAGAAGGAAGGTTTCGTCTATTTGACAGCACTGATCTTCTTCTCCTTGAATGACAATTAAGACTAAATGCAATTCAAGGTTCAAAGGCTCTGTTAGAATTGCTGGGGAAATGTGTTTGTGTAATTAAAATTGCTATTCCCAATTTAGACAGAATACAAAAAGAGCCAAATTTTTTAAAAGTCACACAGCTTTAAAACTGGTCTTCATTTTCAAGTGTTTCAAATCAGGTATTCCGAAACAAATAATTAAGATCACCAGTCACACTGGAGAGGCAGGCCTACACACTTTATGTAACTATACTAAGTTTTGCCACAGTGACTTGGCAAACATCAGTATCTACCACGGCAGAAAACAGACAGCTAGAAAGGACATTCTGTGTCGAGCAACAGATCATTCACCGACTAGAGAAAATTTGCCCTGTTAATCAATAACTGTAAAAAAGAAGGAAGAGCTGGAACTTCAGGCAACTACTTCCAGAATGTATTTTTATTTATATATACATATATATATATATATATAGGATGACATTGGCAAAATGACTGGTATGTGCAAGAGAAAAACATGTCACCATAGACCTATGTCAGAAACACAGGAGCCACAGCAGTATAATTAACAACTTTGTTTTCCATAGTTAACTCATTAAAGAACAGGTAATCCCTGCTTCCCCCCAGACTTTGCTACCTGAAAAGGGGAACAAAAAAGAAAGAAAAAATTATACTGTTTGTATTAGAAACAAAGGAATGCCATTGCCTGTTAAAACAATACCATGCAAGCCTTGCAGATGTAAGTACAAAAGGTAATTCAATATCAAAGTAAAATATAATTTTTTCATTAAGAATGGATTCAGCCCAACAAGAAAGTGTTCTTTACACTTTCAATGTAAACTAATAGAAAACCTCAACCAATACTCCCTTTTAAGGATGCCTCATTGAATGAGTTACATTTAGAAAGCATGTGGATTTTGACTTTCTCTTGTTCCAGTCGTACAAACTCAGCCTCGGTTCTGAAATTAGGGCCTTTCTCACGCAGCACTGCGTTGTAGCTAACTCAATTAGACCCTCAATAATACCAATGTAATCCCACTGCATTTAGCAATCTGCAAGTACACAATTCATTGACGCTTCCTTTACAAGAAGAAACATTGGCAATTTCCTAAGCTCCGCTGGCCTGAGGACTAGCAAAAATAAACAGCAATTAAAACTTTGACACAAGTCAGCAGATACTCTGAAAGACACAGACGAAATCTATCTGTTTAAAAAGACCCGTAAGTACATTTTAAGTTACTTTTAATAACAGCACTTAGCACATTTGACATAATCTTTGATGATAACTACATGAAAACAAAAAGATTGTGAAGGCTTCTATTTCTCTCCTTGTGTATGTTTACAAAAACTACTTAGGTAACATACTGATCCTATCTTAAAATGTGACTATAACAGTAGCACTATTCTCCCAGGGTCAGACCAGAGACAGGATTTATCTTGCAGCACACTGCAAACGCTTGCACTTGTTAGCACAGAGGGACTAAACATGCATATCTTTGCCTCTTTCATTTTGTATTGAGGAGTAGCAAAATTAAATAAAAAACTTGCAAACCTTACATGCAAAACTAACAACTTTTGTAAGAAAAATTATTAACAGCTGTCAATATTTCTAGCATTAGTGCCATGCTGCGCTGAAAGACAGTGTGGTATTTGACAAGCCATTATCTGACACAAGGCAATCGTACAAAACCACGACATAGCATGAGGAGCAGTAGACCTGTATCACTGTGGCGTGGTCAATCTCTTCAAGTACCTGAAATACCTGAAGTAAAAAATTATATCCTCCTTTAACAGCACAGAAATGTAGAAATTGTGAAAACTTTATGAGGAGCATAATGGAAGCAATACTTTGCTGAACAGTAAGGGAAGTCAAGGCACTAGCATGGAACATTCGCCCCGCTACATTGCAATCTTCGTGGCACTTTTCCAGCGAACACTGAACAACGTTTGTTCAGACTCAAGAGCACTCAGAGACAAGACTACTGGCCATTAAATGGGAAAGACTCCTATAAAATACTTTTATGACTTTTTTTTTCTCTATAAAAACACCTCTTCGCTCTTCTGCAACAGGGACTACTTCCATTTAAGCTACTCTAGGAAGTAAAGGCAAAGGCCTTCTTAATATAACCAGATACTCTCCCACATTGCTCTCACAAAAAGCAGCAAGACTTGCTGGTCTTTTTCTTTGTACACACACATACATTCCCACTATAATTGTATATGACACGTTAATACATATCACAGACTAGAGAGTTATTTACTGTTACTTTTAGGATGAGTGCACATTTAATTATTAACTCTGTATGTGTTTTGTCAATGACCAGGTATGTATAATACATCGGTGAGATGTTTTATAATGTCCTAAGGTAAGTTTTTCTCAAGATAGAAAGTTTCTTCCAGCTCAGGAAAGTTGCACAGTGCTAGACAGCTACAAAGGTATTGCAAATCCTGTTTCAACTCTCTTAAAAATTTCTAAGGTTCTTCAAACAGAAAATGCACTGGTCTTCGGAGGGGGGGAATGAAAAGGTATGATTTTTTCTGTCTTAGTCTTATTAATTACTCTTTTTTCAATCTTGGAGCCAGGCACTGGCTTTTTGGCCAACAGTTCTGTCTGTTAAGCCAGAAATTAACAGTTAGGAATACTTTTCATCCCATTCTAATTTTCAGAGCTCTGAACCATTCATGCTTTAACTCATAGTCTGTCCTCACAGAATTCAGGCTTGCATACTCAAGAGAGAAAACAGGAAAAAGAACATGTTAGGGGAAAAAAAGGGTAACGAACAACTACTCCTGCAGCTTCCTATTTTTTCAGGGGAGTGAGAAGCAAGGAAGGCCACCAGAAAGGTCAACACAGTAAATGGTTTCTAGTGGGGCTGGGAAAAAAGACACACTCTGATTGCTAATCTGGTTTAAACTCAGATTTGGTGATTTAAACTAGACTGGAAGATAGAGTTAGACTTTGTTATGGGAACTCTTACGAATACATCTGTGTACAAACAATCACTTAGCTCACGCTGTGCTCTATAATCGCTCCAGCACAGATACAACCTCTGAGTTGAAGGCTCTTCTGCTCCCTTCACAACAACTGCCCAGCCTCCTGGTCATACAGTACCCTGACCTCGGATGCTGCTCTGCCACAGGGGCATTCTATGAAAAGTTATGTTTTCGTAGTGAATTTATTTGTTTCTGTTTGAAACTAAAGGCCAAATGCTGCTGCCCCTTCATTTTGAGCTTCAGTTATACCACCTCTATATAAACAACGCCTTTGAGCTTGAAAGACTTGTGTCAGACCCTTTAAGTTGCTGCATTTTTTTCCCATATAACAAGTGGTCTCATTTTACTGTGCAGTCTCAGCAACAAATATGTTACTAGAAACGCTGCAAGCCCATCAGCCACCACAATAATTACATATAATCCCCGTTATATTTGTGTTGTGGTTAATATTTGTTGGATATGCAAACCTGGAAAATGTTACATCTCAGCCAAACTTTGTGAAGCCTTTGAAAGACTGTCTTCCTATGTGTCTAGAGGATGAAAGCTTTAGAGAAAGAAAAGGTGCTGTCTTACCGAGGGCCTGCCAAAACTTTTTTTTCTACCGTTTGAAAATAATAAATGACAAGTCAAGCCAAGAGAACTATCGCTATAACTGCTGGACTCGGGGAAGCTGGGTATTGTTATTAAGGTCACTGAACTTAAAAACTGCTGCATGTGAAGGATTTATTGTAGTAGTCAACGTTTTGTCATTTTTTTCTTCCATAACCTACGCAGAACAGAGAAGGCTGAGTGTG